ACCAGCTACACACTGCGTAGGTACTCCATATATATCTGGGGACTTTGCTCAATTTTGGTGAGTATTTGTGTAAATTTTTCTGAACCAAAAAAAACGCTGCTCTGGGTTGCCATTATTAATCTCTTCAAGATTTATAATTTTTCTTTGTAAAGGTTGAAACTTTAGTACCAGCTACACACTGCGTAGGTACTCCATATATATCTGGGGACTTTGCTCAATTTTGGTGAGTATTTGTGTAAATTTTTCTGAACCAAAAAAAAAAAAAAGAAAACAAAATCTGATTCTCCTGTAAGGTTACTGATTGACGTGGCTGATGATGAAGTAGAAGATGAGGAGAGGAAAAGTTGTGATGAAAAGGATCGAGAATGCAGCGAGCAGACTAGTGTCCTTCTCCAAGCGTCGAAACGGGCTGCTTAAGAAAGCTTTTGAGCTATCTGTTCTCTGCGATGCTGAAGTTGCAGTCATCACCTTCTCACAAAAAGGAAGACTTTATGAGTTCTCAAGCTCCGAGTATGTTCATTTTTCTTTCTTTTCCTTCTTTTTAATTATACCATCAAAGCTGCTCGATCAATTAATTATTTCTTTTTACTATATATATTAATCATATAACAGATTTTGTAAGTTTGGTTTTTGTTCCTCTTTTCTGTTTTTAGTCAATCGTATTTAACCCTTTTGTGTTTTCAAAATCCTTTTTGTGCTACAAGGTTTCTTCCATAAGTTCCAATAGGAAATCTTACTATTTACTTTGATTATGTTTTTTTTTTTTCCTACTTGTCTTTGAGTTCATTTCATTTAATGAAATATCAAGAATGGCTCTCATGATGTGCTTTGCAAATCCATTTAGGTGCATTTTGCCTTTCTCAAACATGTCTATTAGGGTTTGCAAAAGCTTCGCTGCTAGGAGAACTAGAAACTGTTATTCTTGTTTTCAGGCTGCCACCATTTCAATTTACATATTAATTAGTAGAAATTAATCTCAAATTAGTTTTGTCCATTTCTTTATATGTGGTTTACGATATCACATGTGCTTTAAAAATTGTATTAAACCCTCCAATCTTCACTATAAAAGTTGGAGACTGCCTACAATGGTTATGGAATCTTTAATTTCTTGTAGTATATCTCCTATAGAATTGAGCATATGAAGTTCATTGGTGCTTGGCTAATTAAAATAAATGTTGCCTATGTGTGTTTGAAGGATCTATGAATGTATGCTTTTCTGAGGCATCTAGAAATCTACCTTAATGATTTTCTTAGTTGCATGATATTAGGCTCATTAGATTTTCATTCTTTATACTCATTGCTAAGTGTTTGCACTTCAAGTGTTTGGTAAATATATATATATATATATATATTTGTTACATGTTTATATAACCTTTATTTTGGGTATTTAATTTCATATACACGATCAAATTATGTATTCAAGCCAGCAGTGAGTGGCATAAGAATGATATAATCTCCTAATAAATAATACCATAAGTAGGAAAGAGAAAATTTAACTTTGAAAAAGTAAAAATTCTAAGGCATTAGATATTTTGACTTTCTCTAAATTATATCATTACTTGAGAAGTATTTGTTAATGGGGTGATAAATTAGAGAACAATATATATTACCCATGTGTGTTTAGAACAATTAGTTAAAAGAAATAGTTAGATACATTTGTAGGGGAAAACAAACTAATCATCTTCCAGTACACTCCAACTATATAAACTCTTGAGTATGATTGAGACTTGATCAAAAGCCCTTACATAAATTTTTTGCCTCCCATAATTACATGTTTAACATCCCAGTTGATAGCATTTTACGTTGAAATTGGCCTTAAAAGGCAGCTGTGGTATATATGTAGAAGAAAATTCATGAAATATATTACTTGGTTCAAAATAAAGGTAAGGGATGCACTTCTACTTTTCATGATTAGTTCCATAACCCGCGGGATTAATTGTGCCAGGGCAGTGAATGAAAGGAAGCTGTCAAGAAAGGATGACAAGTACAAGATCAAGTAACATGATTTAGCTTGGATTTATATGTTTTGTGATTTATTTGTTTTGCATGGTAGGAGAATTCTAGAGCATGTTCATAATGGGTAAGAGTACCCTTCGTACTCTTATTTTAATATAAATTTCATATTTTTTTGGTAATTAAAACAAAAAAGGCTCCTGGACAAGTTTACTTGTCTCTGAAAACTATTGAATCTAAACATTATTTCTTCTCTTTTTGAGTGTGTCTTTGATAATTAACTTTCTGAAGTTGGTATTTTTATTTCTTTGTATCTAAGCTCTTTATATATATACATATATTGAATGATGAGATATGGATAATACAAGATAGTTTTCCCTGTCTATCTCGAGAATTAAGTTTTAGACCTTTAATTTAAAATCTTAAACTCGTAATTAATTGTTGAGACATCTTGTAGGATGTGTCTAAGGTTCTCTAATGCTATGGATTATAGAATATTCATGTTGAATTTTGACAACCAACTTCTAGCTGCAATAGGTGCACTCAATTTTTTTTTTTTGATCCATTTTTTGCCTAAAATAAATTTTAAAATTATCTCATCCACCCTAAATTGATTCTTCACCAAATCCTTTTGTCACCCTCTATGACCAAGTTGATTTATTATCATTCCATAAAGTTTATCAAACACAATACTATTCTTGCTCTTCTATCTCCCTATCTATTGTTTTTTTTTTTTTTGTGAACAGCCAAGAAATTTATATTGATAACTTGAGTACAAGGGGTATTTGAACCCATTTCCATGAACAACTTCCAATCCCTTCAGTGTTACTACCCTCTTTCAAACATATCTTACTATGCTTTATCAAGGCAAGAAGCAGGGTTAATTAACTAGTCTGATAGATTGAAGTAACACTTGGGTTTCCTAGCTTTGATCCAAGCAAAAGACCTTAATTGAATAAGTTCAAAAAGCTTAATCAAGTTTACCTCTGCATTGTTGAAAATCTCCCTATCTATTGTAAGGGTAGGCATTTGTTGTACTTCTTATAATATAATTTTGATTCATTGAAAAAAATTGATTTGTTATTGGCGGTAACAATACTAACTTTTTTCTAAAGGATTATCCTTGGTTTTTACCATCTTCAATCTCCTCATATTTGGAAATACCATGTTGATTTTCATCTTTTTTATAAATTTTTTCCTTGTGCTATTTACATAATACTCTATTTTTACTTGTCTCTTGAGGAATGGACTACATTTTATTTCTCATAGCAATTCATTGTTTCTTGAAGGTGAGAAATTTGATAAATTAATATACATTTTGTAGTTTGATTAATTAACACAGAAAACAACTATTAAAAGTGGGATTTAAATTCAAATATTTTTCCTGTTTAGGACTGTAATTTGATTTTCAAGTCTTGAAAGTACAAGCATTTAAAAATATATTATTTAGCTAAAATGTAATTATCACCATTTTAAAATCCATGTATTTATTTTATATAGGTTGGGAATTCATATAGTATATGATTAAGTATTCAAATTTTACATTAAAAAACAAATATATATATCTATATATATTATTAAGTATTCAAATTTTCATGGATCTAAGATTTATGAGATTGACAATGTATTTTTGTTTGCACTAATCTACTCTTTTCTTATTCAAAGCAAAATAAATGTACTCAAAATTAAAGATTTAAATTCAAATGCACACTCAAATTTGTAATTCACAAACTAATTATAATTTAAATTGTAGATTCAATAGGATGCTAGATGATGTTAAAGCCGTATGTCAAATTTTTCAATGGCACAGCAATGCCCTATAATTATGTCAAAGCCTCCTTTGTGAAACAAGCTAAAAGAAAAGAAAAGAAAAAAAAAAGAAAAGAAAAGCTAAATTTCCTTTACTACATTCAAAATCTTTTTTTGGATACATATAGTTGTATTAATAAGCAAAGTAATTGCAATGCAGTGCATGATTGGAGTTGTTAATGAAGTTGCTAGGAAAGGTTCAAATAAAGATTGGTGGGGTTGATGGTTGGAGATGGGTGCATGATTCTGACGGAAATTATGTAGTGAAGAAAGCTTATGAGTTCTTAGCTCCTTTAGAGTCTGTTTTGCAGGGCCAGCTTTGTAGATTGGTTTGGTGCAACTTAGTGCCATCCAAGGTATCTTTTTTTGGGTGGAGATTATGTCTTGATAGACTTCCAACAAAAGGGAACTTATACAAAAGAGGGGTAGTTATGCAAGAAGGAAGTTTAATGTGTAGTTTTTGCAATGAGGCAATGGAGGAAATAGATCATTTATTTTGTACATGTAAGGAAGTATGGTTACTATGGGCAAAGGTACTACATTGGTGGGGGGTGAAATTTGTGTTACCAAATTCAGTGGCAGCCATAGCTGAATTTTTCTAGTCTAGTTTTGGTAGGTTGGTTGGGAAAGAGATGGGTGCTTGTCTGTTTCTAATAGTTTCTTGGTATTTATAGTATTGGAGAAATGCGGTTGTGTTTCAAAATAATGGGAGCTTCAAGGAGAAATTGTTGGATATGGTTCAAATCAAGTCCTTTTCTTGGATTAAATCTAAGAATACTGGCGCCATGTTCTCCTTTCATGAATGGACGGATGACCCAGTTGCTTGTGCATTAGAGGTGAGGAGGCATAAAAAGGAACTAAAGAAGTATTTGAAGCTGAAACAGGGGCATATATGATCGACAGTGCGAGCTTGATTACTTTTGGCTAATGTGTTTTTATTATAAATGATGTCAGTTTTGCTAGGTCTTTATTATGATGGTTTAGTCTTTTATTTTGTAAATGGGTTGGAGTACCCCTTGTACTCCTATTAATAAATTATCTTAATTTGCTGATCAAAAAAAAAAAAAATGCAATGCAAACTATATAGAAATGACATGTAAAATAATTAGGCACTAAGAAATTTTAAGTATTAGAATATATCATAATGATATTAATAAAGTTATGTAAAAACAGTTTTACATAGAGAGATTATTTTAGAGTTTTTTATTCATTATTGGTAGTCACATCTATTTTACCATTTAGTCCTAGCATAAGAGATCAAAAGACATGGCAATGTAGTGTCTCACACAACAATGCTCTATCAAAACTCAAGTGAACCTCTAATTTGCAGATGGATGAAGACATCTATTTGCATCCCCATCACAACACCTAAGTCATCAAGCCTCATCTTAGGTGCCCTTTCATCTTCAAAGGTAACCAAAGCCAACTTCCAAGGTGATTTTTGTAATATTATATCCAAATCATAGTTTTTGGTAAATTGGAACAGAAAATTTCCTCACCCAATTTCCTAACTTACACGCTAGATCTAGTTTTCCATGAGGATGCAATTGCTCTCTATAGACCTATAAAATTAACTCTTTTGTGAGCATGAACCTTCCTAATCAATTACAGCGATTCAGTTGAGGTAGTTGAGTTATTCTGAGTGTTTTCAAGGGAAAGCTCAATTTTTTTTATCCTCAAACAGCTAGATCTAACCAAGGAGAGAGAGAAGATCTGTAACTTCCACACACCACAGGATGCTGCCTCCTGTGGTTGGACATCTTCTGTGGTCTGGAGGCCCTGTAGATTGCTTTCATGATGGAGCAAGGTTGGAGCAGCATGGTCAAGGTAAAGCAAGGACTGTATGGTGCGCTCGTGAACCTTGTGCACCATGTAGGTTGCTAGCAATGGGGAAAAGGAGAAGAAAGAGGGGGCACCTAATTGGAGGAGAGAAAACACTAGAGAGAGAGCCTAATCTAACCCTAGATAGGAGGCAGATAATGTTTGCTACATTCAAATTAAATCCCTGTAATACGTTATTCTTATGTTTTAGGTATGTAGTCTAAGTTATAACTTGTTTGAGATGATCATTCTGTAAACTTGGATCCATCTTCATTCTTTCCATTCATCTTTTAGGCTTAGATGGTGGGTTAAGTACGTAAAGTCGTGATTCTTTTCATCACTAACTAGGGATGGTCTGAAACTCATGTAGTTTTGAGTGCTTGCGCACTTTTTAATTAATGAAATTGTTTGCCATCCCGCTGAGAGGATATATCTGCTTTCCTTTTCAGTTTTATTCATTCATTCCTATGAAACTGGTAACATGGATTGATGGCCTCTTTTTTTTTTTTTGTTCTTTTTCTCCTGTGAAATTCTTCAGCATGCAAAAGACCATCGAACGATACTGTATGTATACAGAAGGAATTCCAACTCACAAGCTTGAAATGGAACAACACATGCAGGTTAGACCCCCCATCTTTCATTGTACAGATTAATTTTCCATGAACTTTTTATCGATAAAAGGGCAGTTGAAAAGTTATTTATTTTTCATAGAAAACAGAAACAATTATAGTTAAGAAAGCAAATTTTAAGGTTTGATGCTTGAGTGGGGGATCCTTACACAATCTGAGTTATATGAAAGGGAGCAGCTTGAACATTTAGATGTAAGCATGGATGATATTATATATAATACTCTATTTGGAAAGGAAAGTTACGTACTTAACTTGCAGTTGATTAGGATGACAATTAACTTGGTTGCCAATCTGCTCCTTTTACTGTTGATATCATGGTTTTGGACTCTAAATCCATGATTTAGGAAGTGAAGAGTTTCAAAGCTCAGACAAGTGCATGTTCTAGTCTCCTATGTAAACAAGTTGCCGACGGGCCAGTTCAAAACATGGTTGTAATACCTCATCAATTTGAGGAAATTATTCCAAGTAGTAATCAAATCCATCCAATCTTTTGTTTTATAACTAGGTTTTGTTGCATGACCCTTGGATACTTATGATTGGATTTCTCTACTTATAATCTACATTACATCTTCATTGCTCTCATCAAACAGCCTGGTTCATGAGTTGAAATAAATTACTAGCCTATATGGCTCCTAATTATACTTACGGTTTCCTCTAAAAATTTCATGGCACAGCATATGAGGATTGAAACAGAAAGCATGGTTAAGAAGATTGAGTTTCTTGAAGTTTCTAAAAGGTTCAATGATTTAATGCATATGTCAAGTTACTTCATGTCATCCAGGTGAAAGGATTTCTAAGGTTTAAATTTTTTATATCATACAGGAAGTTGTTGGGTCAAGGATTGGGCTCATGTTCTGTTGAGGAACTTCAAGAGATCGATAGCCAGCTAGAACAAAGCTTGAAGAACATCAGGGCAAGAAAGGTTTGCAACCTTTTAGATTTGCATATTTAGACTAAAAGTAGTTACATTAAAGAATTAATGCATGACTACAAGGCTTTTGATTTTGAAGGAAATTAGGTTTAAGTTACTGTCAAATGAGCTTAATTCTTGACGTATTTATATATATTTGCACCGTCATTGGACTTATAGACATACAAAGGCCACGCGCATTTCCTCAGACGCGTCTCCTCCTTAGGTTATACTCCTAGGTAGAGCTGCAACCTTCATTACTTTAAGTTTAACCATTTAAGTGTTTCAAGATCTCCTCCATGATGCGGGATCGGATCTAATGTACCCCACAATAGATTCTTTATTGTGCCATCTACATACATGCAAGGGACTTTGGCTTGACATTCCTCATATCATTGATCTAAATTTCTCCAGTGTATTACATTCTTCATTGTGCCATGCATCTACTTACATACAATTCCAAGACAATACTTGAAAATTGTGTTTGCTTGCATGAAAATACTTACACTAAACATGTTATGTCCTATCTTATAGGCCCAGTTGTATAAGGAGCAGATACAAGAACTAAAAGCAAAGGTAAGAATAACCCCCTCTATTGAATTAAACATATATTACTTCCTCAATCTTCTAACTCTAAGCTTCTCAACAATGTTGCTCTTGTTTTTGTCTCAATAATATATTTTTTGCCTTAATTCAGGAGAGAAAGTTGTTAAAAGAAAATGCAAAATTATGTGAAAAGGTGAGCCTTTCATTTCCAAATCTTTGAGTTTTTCTTTTTTTTTTTTAAACTTAAGAAAACAACCCATAGTTTCATAGTCTAAATTGACACTGGACTGCAAGAACTAGGCTATTGGATGATGGGAGCCATCCTACAATCAAGACTCCTTTATTTAGTGACTCATATTTTGCAATCTAGTATAATTGAGACTTCAAAACACAATGTTTAAAATAAAAATTTATCCAACTCTATTTTGGTTTGGATGTTAGTGTGATGGTAAGAAGTCATGGCAACAACCACTAACTCAACAAAGGAAACCATTAAACAATTGCACTCAAAATAATGAGTCCTCGGAGGTTGAGACAGAATTGTTAATTGGACTTCCACGAAGCCATTAATATCAACTATCTAAATTACTTTACAGCTGAAATTATTGTGCTACTCCAAATAATGCTATATGATTAGTGTATGTGGCTGGTTGGTACACTATTTTTCTATTTAATATTTTCTAGTTTAACTGTATATATGATCTAAATGTAACTACATAGTATAAGGGTATTTGAGAGATCTTAAAAGGCAAGTTTGCTTAAACAAATTCTTTACTAAAAAATTCAAAATTTTGTTGGAGGAAAATTGGACAATTGGTTTTCGAATGAACTTAGCAAGTTATGAAAAAAAGATAGATGCTATTTAAAATCTGATTTTTTAATTTCCTTCCAACAAATTTTTAAATTTTTGAGAGAAAATTGTACTTAAGCAAATTTATTTTTTATAGTTCTTCTGCCAAACAGCTTTTATACAGTATAAGAATATTGTGAAAAAATATAGTGTAAAATGCTGGGGATCATGATATTATGAAACCCTGAATTCAGTGTATCATCTGATTGCATGGGTATGTGGCATAACAGGCTATCGCCGCACCAAGTGCAGTTATATATTCTGGTGATTAATTTTTTTGAAGTTCTCTTATAATGATTCTGAAGACTATCATTATTCATTACTTTTAACAGAAACATCCTCGCATTGTCATTTTATTTTTGCAATCTTTGCATTTTGTTTCATCTCACTTAATCTGTGGGGGAGAAAGCAGCTGGAAAGAGCAAAGCGGTTAATGGGATGAGGTGCGAGAACGTGGGGAAGCTCCCACAGAGAAAAATACGGGGGAAAATAATGGAAAAAATAAATAAATGAAAGTTTGTGCATTGATGGTGGGCTTAAATCTTTGGGCTGGTTCGTTCTGTAGCGTAAGGCTTTGATATTGAAGTCTTTAGTAATATTTTGGTAGGTGTTGGTCGGTGACGGGTGGCTATTTTTTTGGTCAAATTATAAGAAGTTAAACTTGAGATACTTGTTTGAAAAAACTAGGATTAGCAAAGCTTAATGTTAACACAGCTAAGGGCGTTTCATTGGTTAAGGGCAAGAGCAGGAGGTGTCCGTTTAGTTTTTCCAATTGAGCGTTGGAACCAAGAATGTTGAGATGGCTGTGCGACTACTCGCTGCAATGTAGAAGAGTTTAGCGAGTTTGAGTACCCTTGTACTCGGAATGAAATAATATTAATTTTTTACTGTTTAAAAAACATTAATAATTTTTTTATTAAAGTAATTAATAAATAAATGCATTTCTTATTGTAAATTTTTTTATTAGTGGATGTTTCACTCTCACCATATTTTATCTTTATCTTCTTTTATATTTTAATTTATTTTCATTAATGGTTATTCAAATCCCCACTTAAGTATTATTTATAACTCCATTAATGTGCTATTCATGACTCCACTAAGATGTTATTTATATCTACACTTAATCCTATTTATTAGTCAATTATTTACATTTAATCATATTTAATAGTCAAAGTAATTCTCACGTTTCTCTTAACCTATATATAAACTTATAAGTTTGTATGATGAATGGTATGATAAAATAAGAAGTTACAAGTTCTTTTCCTTCTTGTTTGTGCTACCCTTCCAAATTTCTATTGTTTTAGTTTCTTTTATTTTCTTATAATTTATAACTTTATGCACTACGGGAAAATATTAAAATAGTTTTATTCTTTTAAAAATAAGTTATTCTAATTTTTTTCTGTAAGTGTTTATTGAAACAAATAATTTAGACGGAATTTATTTTTATCTTTAGGTGTTCAAGTGATAAACTATTTTACTTTAATATTTTTTAATTATACTTTCACAATTTATTACCGTAAATAAAAGCATCAATTTTCAATTTTCTCATTCTCATTAATTACATGTTTAAATTGAAAAAATTAATGCTTCTAGTAAAAAGGATAATGCGAGGAGTTACTAGATCTAGATTGTACTTAAAGAAACAATGATGTTGCAGGTAGGAGTGGGCAAAAATATTTGCAAATAAATACGAAATTCAAACCAATCGAAATCATAACTGAGAAATTGGGTTTGAATGGATTGTGAAGTTTTTTCTTAATTAAAAATTAAACCATACAGATCTCAAATAGTTTAAGTTTTGGTTATGAAGTTTGAAAATCAAAAAACTATATTAGAGTGAGTATAATTGAATATCCAGTGCAAAACCTTTATATAATTTTTTTTATTTTAATAGTATTTAGATTGGTTTAGGTTTTCTTGTTGCTTTCTATTAATTTATTTATGTATTTAGGTAATTTTTTAATAATTGAAATTAATAAAATAATAAATCATTAATAAATATAAAAATACTTTTTTGATTAAAATAGAAATTGATCTGAATGTTTATTGTCAAAAGAACAACCAAAATTGATAAATTTTGGTTTTTCCAATTTGATTATTAGTTTTTAAAATTAGGTTTTTTTATTCAATACATTTATTATAACTTTTCACCATTAATTTGTATGGAAAATCATGAAAATAAATTTTATTTTCAATACCAATATCATGTGAAAAATTTTAATTGGACAATTTACAAATTTGGAGTCAATTTATATACTTTTCACACAAATTAATAATAAAAATATACATTGAATATATTATAAATCTGTACTGTAAGATAGAGATTAAATAATTTGTTTAAAATTTAATAACTAGAAATTTGATTAACCAATAATTCGATTTCTATTATAACAAAAATTGAACCATGTCCACTCTAATTAGAGGTTGTTGAGCCCAAAATTAGCATTCAACAAGTGGCCCAACCAACCGTCAAATTGAGAGCCCAAAATTAGGGGTATGGGGAAAAGTCTGTACCTGAAAAAAATTTCCAAATTGACTGAAACAATAATCCACATGTAAGGTTGGATTGGCGCTTTTTTTTTTTTTTTTTTTTACTAAAAACAACTAAATGGGTTTTAAACAGTTTGGGTTTTAATTGTAAGATCTAAAAATTAAAAAGTGATTATGGTGAGTATAATAAAAAATTTTGTCAAACTTTTTATATAAATTTTTAAATTTTTTTTAGATTTTTTAAGGTTTTATCTTCAATTTTCACCAAATTATTTATTTGAATAGTTTTTAGTTTTGTAATTATTGAAATTAATAAAATAGTATTTTAAAAAATTTTAAAAATAATTAAAAATATAAAAATAATTGTGTGGTTATATCAAAACTGATCCAAATGGTTTTTCTAAAAAATGTAACCAAAATTGATAAAATTTATTTTTTTATTTGGTTAATGATTATTAGAATTCAATACCTAAAATTTTGGTTAAGACAATAATTAATATACATTTTAATTTAACACATTATATAATATATTTATAAAAAAATTATTATTTTTTAGTAAGAAATTAAAGGCAAGTTTAAAGAGATAACTATATATACAAGATGCAAAAATCAACTGAATGAATTATATTTATATTATATTTTAATAATTAAATCAAAATAAATGTAAAAAAATGTATTAAATCAAATATATACTAATAATTTTTCTTTTAATTAAATAGTAATTTAATTTTGCTTACAATCAAAACCGATCGTACCCACCCCAAAATGCCAATAGCATGACGATGGAAAGTATCATAAGACCAATTCACCTAAAATTAGCAAAACCCAGCCTCAACTCGCCAGTTCCAATAGAGCTAGACATGGTTGGGAGTCAATTAATTTGGTTTTCTTTAACACGGACTTTATCACTGGCAAGGAATGAATCATTATTTAAATAAAGAGCTTCAGATGAAGATAAATTGTTTGACTTGGTCCAATCTCGATCTTACTAGTGGCTCCATCGGACAGGGGATTGCAGAGGATTCTCTTGGACTGGCTACAAGAACCGGTGCTCAGTATGATACTTTCAAAAGGCAAGAGGGAGAAGCTGTAGTAATCTTTCACTGTATCTATAATGGAGTTGTAATTGCACCAAACCAGAAGTCCTTCTTCAGTCCGCGCTTGCACTCCGAGATGACCTGCAAAGCCCCGAGGTGGAACTCGGGGTAGACACTCCGATGCTTAAGTCAGCAATAATCAGGGCTACCTTTAGGGCGGAGATAAAAAGAGCTTAGGGTTGGTTTCAATTACCTTTTTGACGTGGCCCGGGGGGGTATTTATAGGATTCAATGAGGAACCCACGTGTCATGCCAAGCAAGATAATTGAAGCCTGACGTGTCCCATCCAGACGATTATTCCGGGACCGGGAATTTGAGAGGTATCCAGATGCACGAACGTCCACCATACTTGCTGTGCCACTCATCGTAAGGGATCAAGTGCGGGCATGCTTATTGTCCTTGTCATGCAGCCATTTGAGCGGGAAGCTTTGGATTTATTCCTCACTTCGGTCATAAAGGAATTACTGTAGCAGTCCGAGGCTTGTCACCTCGAACCTATCCTTACACTATTCCGCCCCCCCCCCGAAGTCATTCACTTGTGAATGATGTTATTGGGGATGTTGAGGGGAGTGCATAAACAAAGAGAATGAGGATAAGTTATGGAAGTGAGAGGAGGAGATAAAGTCTGTAACTTAAATGTAAACATAGCCGTAGCTAATGATGAAATATGTAACAGTAGATTACACTGGGAGTGTCTTAAATAGAATATGACCAGAGTGATCATGGCTGTGGTCGTGTAAAAATAATGACTAGAATTAATCGTGGCTGTAGCCATAGTAAAAGATGATGACCGGAGTCTTGGTGGTTGTAGCCATAATAAAATATGATGACCGGAGTCATGATAGCCGAAGCCAAGGTAGAGTATGTGACATGTGATGACCGGAGTCATAATGGCCGGAGCCAAGGTAGAGTATGTGACATGTAGTCACAGTAACTAGAACCGAAGTAAAACATGTGTCTCTATGGCTGGAGCCGAAGTAAAACACTATGCCAGTTTAAAAGTGTAATTGTATAAGTAAACAGAAGTGCTGAACTAGGCTTAAGTATAAAGATTGGGAGTCAAAATGGCTGGAGTCATAATAAAATATAATAACCGGAGTCATAATGGCCCAAGCCGAAATAAAATGTGTGATACAGAATCACTGTGGTCGAAATCGATGCGAAATGTAATGCAGCATTATTATGGCCAGAGCCGAAGTGAAACACTTGACAAAATTGAGAAAAGTAAACAAAGGTGTTGAAATGGTCGTGAGTGGGTTCGTTTTGAAAAATCTGACAAAGGGGTAACACGTGGTGTGACAATTGTCCTTGAAATGACATGTGCAATAAATGCGGCCGTAAAAAGATAACTGCGACAGTTAAACGGGCGAATTAAAAAACGAACCGTCAAGTTCCAAACGATACCGTTTGGGATTGCCCGTTGAATTCCAAACGGTGTCAACAGGGACCGTAGGATTAAACGAATCTCAGCCGTTGAGATCTAATTTTGCCTAGAAGTATAAATAGGCATTTTTTCTGCAGAAAAAGGTTTACTTGCATTTCTTTTCCTACAAAATTTCTGCGAGAAGCTTTACTGTGCGTTTCCTATGCGTGAACTGCAGCATTAACTGGGGAACTCTAAATCAAGTCTTTCGAAACCGAGATCAGGTAATGTAGACGGAACTCTGATTTTAAGTTAATTGAAGTGTCTTTCTCCTTTCTCCCTTTTTGTGATTGATTTAGAGTTCTTTGAAGGAAGTTAGGGTTAGAGATGAGAGGGATTTTGAATGTGTAATATAGGGGTTTTTATTTATTTATTTATTATTATTATTATTATTATTATTTTAAATGGGTCCTGACTTCATTCCTCCCTTCTACCTCATGCAGAGTTTGAGAAAATGTCCGCAGAAGGAACATAAAATGTGAGAAAATGTCCGCAGAAGGAACATAAAATGTGATTGGGAGTGAGGTGATACCTTTAGATTATGGGGGTACGGACTTGGAGAGTAGTCCATCCCCATATAGTTCGGAGAAGACGGTGGAGGGGATGAGAGAGGATGAGGTGGTAGAGGTTGGGAGGAACGAGGTGGTAGGGGTTTAGGGAGATAGCATACCCATTACGGTAGTAGAAGTAGAGGGTAGAGGGGAGAGGGATTATGATGAGAATGCAGAGATAGTGGAGGAGGTGAAACAGTACCGATCTGAACTAAGGACCAGGGATAGCCTGGGTCACTTAGTAGAAAATTATGAAATCTCGTCCCGAGTGCTAGTTAGGCCAGCTGGGGTAGAGGAGAGGGCGTGCTCTGCTCCTCGGGATCATTAGATGCCCGTATACTCCATTATTTGTATGCTGGCCTTAAGTTTCCAATTCCGGAGTTGCTTGTGGGTTTATTATTAGATTACAACATAGGGTTGACACAGTTGGTCCCCAATGCAATGAGGATAATAGTAGGTTTTTTAGTTTATTGCCGAGCTCAGGGGATTAGTGTACCAACTGTGAATATGTTTAAATACTTCTTTGTTTTAAAGGGAGGAAGTAGGAGGGATTAAGGGTGGTATTATTTCACCCCTAGGGTAGCTAAGAAGGAGAGTAGGATTTTATTCACTGCGGGTCCTTCATCCATTAAGGGATGGAAGGAAAAATTCTTTTTTGTGGATGACACGGAGTGGGGTAAGGGGGATGTCGAGGTGAGGGCGTTAGCCTCCTGGAAGGCCAAAAGGGCTAACCAGAATAGGTTTAGCTTAAATGAGGATGAGGAGGAAGAAGTGGGGAAGTTGGTGAGGAAGGGGGGAGATGTGTTGAACATCATGGACCTCACCAGTGCAGCATGCATAGAGGCTGCTGAGCTCTATGGGCCAAGCGCTCTGAGTGAAGGTTTGTTTAACATGCACTATAGCGTTAAATGTAGAATATAAAATTGTGACTAACATTGTGTTTCTTGCTTTGCAGCTAAAATGGACCAGTTTTTGAACACTGCTGGAGGAGCGCCCATCCCCAAGAAGCCAAGGAAGAAGTCAAAGACTTCAACCAAGAAAGTGGATGAGGGGAGGACCGGGAAGGAGGTAGTGCCCGTGGCTTCAGCTGAGACGAAGGAGGAGGTGCCAATGCTGAAGAGGAAGGGTTGGGAGGAGAGGAGGGCACTGCAGAAGAAGCAGAAGGTGGTGGAGGAGGAAGAGGGGAATGGGGTTCCTGAGTTCGTACCTCAGCCTCCTCCTGTTGAGCTGAACCCTGAGCTCAGACGGTTGGAGGAGGGGGCTGAGGTACGGGGCTCCTGGTAAGGGAAAGGGCCCTGTTCCCCCGGTGGTGCCTCAGAGCAGCTTGTTCGAGGCGAAGAACATAATGGGGGCTAGGTGGTTCATCAACAGCACCTTCCCTGAAGTGGACAAGCGCAACGCGCGGGAAGAGGCTCTGAGGTACGAGGGAGCATCCGTTGTGAAGCACGTTCTTGAGGTACGTTAAGTTAGTGCTGCTGTTTATTTATTCTGTTTCCTCTTCTCTTCTTTCCCTTTGAACTTCTGCTTTGATTTGCAGAGCGCGAGCTGGGTGAATGGTCTAGCCCAGGAGTTCAGGGATGGTGTAAAGGAGCGCGCACTCTTGCAGAGGCGGTGTGACCAACTGCAGAAGGAGAAGGAGAAGCTTGAGAAGAAAAATAAAGATCTGCAAGAGTCGCTAGACGAGGTGGTTCCAACTGTGAAGCAGTTGGAGCAGGAGAGGTCTTCCCTGAGCATCAAGCTCGGCTTTGAAGAGAGCAAAAGGAAGATCTCTGAAAACGAGCATGAGGCGCAGGCGCAAGAGCTAAAGCTGACGAAGGAGGCTTTCTTGGAGCTGAAGGGGAATGTGCAGACCTTGATGCACAATGGGATGAAGGAGCACATCAGCAACTTCATCAGCTCCAGCTCGTTTGACAACATCGTCAACCTATATCGGCTGCCTACTACCATCATCGCGTTCACGGACTGCAGGAAGAAGGTGAAGGCAGAATATCCCGAAGTGGATATTACGAAGATCACATTCGGAGAGCAAGAAGAAGGAGTGGAGGAAGATGGTGAGAGCATGTCAGCAAACTTCCGTCCTCAGATCAAACTGAGATGGGAGGATGATGCAAACGGACGTGTTGTTTTCCCTCCACAATTCGACTTCGAGTTCGTGGCAGTGGAGGAAGAAGGGGCAGAGGTAGAGGAAGACGAGGTGGAGGCAGGAGTGGAGGGAGCTGAAGTGGATGAGAGCCAACCAGTTCCAGAAGTGGAAATTCATCCAGTTCCCTCCAACGATGAGCAGCCTCCTCTGCCAGACGAGCAGCAGCCAAGACAGCCACATCCTCCATCTGAACAAGAGCCAGTGGAGCCACCTCCTCCAGCAGAGAACTAAATTTATTTTATTTTTTAATTTTTTGTAGAGACTTTTAAACAGTTTATAATACTTGTATTACATTAAATGAAATTATATATTTGTTGATGTTTGGTTTATATTTTTATTATTTTTTATGAATAAAAGAACTGAGAGTATTTGAGACGTAATTTGAAAGAAGGTTAACCACTTCAGAAATAAACAAAAGGAAAATAAGTCACTTCAGACGAATTAAGAATAAGTAAATATCTTCCATGTAGATTAGGAATAAGCACATCACTGTGAACGAACTTAAAAGGAAATAAAGTACTTCATATATGAAGTGACTTTTATTAATCAGAAGTGAGATTTAAGTACTGATTGACTTCGGATACATAGAATAAGAGGTAAAATGAATCTCAATAAATACGAAGTGAGAAGTGTAAAGAACAGTAAGACATAGATCACTTGAAAGAATTTTAGTAAGGGTAAAATTTCTTTAAGTTATTGACATTCCAGACTCTAGGAACTCTCTTTCCTTCAGCGTCTTGGAGGACATAGGCACCAGGATGTGGCACATCGGCCACGGCATAAAGGCCTTCCCAATTTGGGGCGAGTTTGTCAAAACGAGTTTCAAACCCTGTTAGGCCAGCTTTCCTGAGAACAAGGTCTCCTACTTTGAATGTTCGAGGGCAGACCCGTTTATTGTAGAAGTTGGCTAGTTTCTGCTTGTATACGAGAGTTCGAAGCCGAGCTTCTTCTCTGACTTCAGCAAGCAGATCAAGGTTTTCCCGAAGCAGTTGTCCATTTCGTCCTTCATCGAAATGGGTGACCCGGAAGCTTGGGACTCCTATTTCAACAGGAATAACTGCTTCGGTACCAAAGGCCAGATGGTAGGGTGTTTCACCTATTTCAGTTAATTATAACTTTAGAATGCGCTTTATGCATTATGCATACTTGCTTGAAGGTAAAGCGTATCAGAGGAAGTAAAAGACTATAGAAATTAATCAAATAAACTCGGTTTAAAGTAGTACCTGTAGCAGTTTGGCTCGTGGTTCTGTATGCCCAGAGGACGTTGTTGAGCTCGTCTGCCCACTTGGCCTTATGCTGCTCCAATCTCGACTGTATACCTTCCAAAATGCATTTGTTAACAGATTCCACCATGCCATTGGACTCCGGATGGTAAACGGAGGTGAACTGCAACTTGATCCCATAACTGGAACAGAAATCTCAAAATGAGGAGCAATTGAATTGAGTTGCAATTGAATTGAGTTCCCTTATCAGCCACAATTTGATTCAGGATCCCATATCTGCAGATGATCAAGCTGAAAACAAAGTCTTCTACCTTCTTGGAGGTAAGACTAGATAAAGGCCAAGCTTCAACCCATTTTGTGAAGTAATTCACACCGACAACCAGATGGGTTACACCACCAACCCCTTTCACGAATGGACCCAAAAGATCTAGTCCCCACTGTGCAAATAGCCATGGTGCTACCAAGTTCGTGAGTTTTTCTGCAGGTTGGTGAGTCAGTTGTGCAAAGAATTGGCACTTTGGACAGTTCTGAACAAAGTGAATGGCATCCTTATACATATTTGGCCAGTAATAACCCTACCTTAAAACTTTGTGAGCCAGAGTTCTAGCACCGACGTGGCTCCCACAGACACCTTCATGTACTTCTCGAAGTGCATACTCGGCTTCGTAGGGATTCAAGCATCACAGAAGAGGAAGTGAAAAAGATCGCTTATAGAGGACCCCATCAACAAGTGTATACCGAGATGCTTTCTTCCTCAACTTCATTGCCTCTTGCCTTTCCTCAAGTACTATTCCATCTCGCAAAAAGAAGATAATTGAGTCAGTCTAGCTTGGTGTGTCAGGGTTTGTGCTAATCTCCATTATCCGAGGCTTCATGAAGCTTGGTTCATCTAAGACCTCCACAAAAACGGATCTGGAACTTAAAGAGCCATCAGAGGCGAACTTGGAGAGTAAATCTGCCTGTTCATTCTCAGCTCGGGGAATTTTACTCAGACAGAATTTCTGGAATTTGCACTTCAGCTCGGCCACCAAGGTAACGTACTTCACCATCACAGGATCAACAACTTCACAGATTGAGTTAATTTGGTTTACCACCAACTGGGAGTCACTGTATATTTGAATTGTACTGATTTTCAACTCCAATGCCAACTGTAGACCAAGTAGTAGAGCTTCATATTCAGCCATGTTATTTGTTGCATCGAAATTGAACTTCAGGGCATGTTCGCTTCGGTATCCCTCTGGACCAATCAAGAAAGCGCCAGCCCCTGAACCCTTACTACTAGATGCTCCGTCAACATATAAGGTCCACTCGTTGGACTCTGGATTAGAGGTTGAAGGACACGGAGTGCATTCGACAATAAAATCTGCTAATGCTTGAGCTGGGATGGTCGATCTTTGCTGAAACGTTATCTCAAACTCTCCCAGTTCTACTGCCCACTTAATTAATCTTCCAGAGCACTCTGGTTTCTGCAGAATCTGCCTGAGAGGTTGATCGGTGAGAACTATAATTGGGTGTGACT